AGAAAGAAAACCGAGTTTTCACTCTATTACTCTTACCATACTCAACCATCAGTACAAGAAAACCACAAAAACCCACAAGAGAACCCACTCACTCAAGAAATTATACCTGACTCCAAATTCACTAGGTATATACAAGAAGGAATAATTTTTTTTTCTGAAATAATACGAGGAGCAAGAATCTGAATTTTGAATCGAAACAGGTTCAAGAATTCGACACAAATTCTAAGACTAAAGCAATCTATGAAAGCCTTATACAATTTGATAATGATATACTCATTGCAACTTATAAAGGAAACAGGACATGCACTAAATATTCATTTTATTCTATCTCATAGTTCATATTATAAGATAAATGTTCACAATCCCACAAAAATTTTCTTAAAAGTTTGAATATTGGGTCTATCCTTAACTCTGTCTTTGTCTATCCTTAAATTATCTTTGAGACATTATTCTATGAAAAATAGAAAAATGCTATGAATGTTGAAACGTAACCATTAAAGAAAAATTAGATGTAGGAAGGGGTCGACTTATCTAAATGAAGAAGCATATGGGTTACAAGTGGGTGTTCACAATAAAATTAAGGTAGACGAAACAATCGAAAAATATAAGATAAAATTGTGACAAAAGGATATACCTAAACCAAAATATAGATTATTGAGAGACATTCTCACTAGGAGCTAAGATGAACACATAGTGCGAATCTTGCTATTCTTAACTACTCATTTTGATTGACAACTGCAATGATTTAATGTAAATAATGTATTTCGACTTGGAGATCTGCGAGAAAAAATCTATATAGAGATTCTACCAAAATTTGACAGAGGGACATGATTACATAAAATTTGTAATTTGAATAAGACGTTCTATGGACTCAAGTAATCATCTAAAGTATTATTTCATAGATTTGCAGGGGTGATTATAGACTTGAGATACAAGCAAGCTCAAAGAGATCACAATCTGTTTATCAAGTATTTTGATATAACCGGAGTTACCACTTTCTTAATACATGTCGATGATATCATTGTAACAGGAGATGATGAACGCGAAAAATTAATGTTCAATAAATGCTTGGTTAGAAAATTCAAAATCAAGAAGATAGGTAAGTTGAAATACTTTCTGCAAATTGAAATTCACTCAAAATCAAGGATCTTCATCTCCTAATAGAAATACATTCATGATTTGTTAAGATATATGGGCAGACTAGCATGTAAGCTAGCTAGTACTCATATCAATCCCAATCATAAACTGAGACTGGAAGAAGAAGATACACTAGTAGATAAGGAAATATATCATAAATTAGTAGGAAAACTAATGTACCTATCAAACACAAGCCTTGACATCGTCTATGCAGTAAGTTTTATAAGTTAGTCCATAGACTACTCTAAAGAAGTATGCTTACAAGCAGCATATAGAGTGTTGCATTACTTAAAAGGGTCACCTGAGAAATGGATCATGTTCTGAAAGAATAACACCTTCCTCCTAAAAGTCTAATGAATATAGACTACATAAGGTTAGTAATGGATAAAAGATCTACCAAAAGTTACTGTACCTTCCTTAGAGAAAACATAGTTACATAGAAGAGTAAGAAGGAAAATATATTTACAAGGTTGAGTTGTAGAATCAAAATTCTGATCAATAACTCATAGGATATGTGAATTATTATAACTAAAGAGAATTTTAAACGATATGAAAATTAAGTAGGGAAACTCCATTCACCTATACTGTGATACTAAATTGGACAAAAGCATGACCTGTAATCTAGTGCAACATGACAGAACCAAATATATTAAAGTTGAAAAGCATTTTATCACAAAAAAGCTAGACAATGGCTTAATATGTACCCATATACGCTGACCAACTCTCAGCTTGTAGACATGTTAACTAAAGGCAAGAGTAATCTAGCATTCTAGACTATTGCAAGTTGGTTATGAACAATATCTATTCCTAACTTCAATGACAATGTTAAAAAGAGAATATAATTAGGTTAAAAAACATTAGGATAAAATGTGCCTTATGTCATTAATGTAATTAATGGTCAATTTCTTTTTCTACTCTAGAAAATCTGTATATATAAAATTATAATATTCAATAAAATACACATTCAACCATTTCTCACACTTAGAAAGGATGGGTATGAATAGAAATTTAAGTGAGGAGACATTTATAAAGAAAGAGTGTCTTACCTGAAGCTGACTTTGCCTTAAGAGAGGCAATTGAGAGCTCATTAGTAGCAGAGCATAAGCCACTGGAAGCAGCTTCCATGTTGCTTTGTGCAAGCTTCCATTCTTGTTCAGTACCTAATATAAGAAGCAACATATTCTATCAAGTACATGGAACGTTAACCGGGATAAATTATTCACAATTAGTAGAGTAGAGCACTTACGTGTAAAAGAATGGTAAGTAACCTCCAATGTGGTCAATGCATTCAAATAAGCCTGCTGCCATGTCCTGCCAGCGCCACTAGTCTTCAATTCATAGATCTCTCCAGGAACATGGAAAATACCATCTCTTGATGCCTCAAACTCCAGTACAGACATGCAAACTTTGATAACATTTGATGCTTTTTCTCTAAATTCCCATAGCAATTGCCGCCGCCTCATTAAATGATCATGGAATTCAGAAGGAATCCCCAAACCCTTGGCTGAGGAATTTCCAGTCGTACTCGAATTGGGTCCACCACAAGCCCACCCCATTGCTCTCTCAAGCTGCCCTTCTGCTGCAAAAGACGTTCGTTCACAGGCTTGCATGCCCTCCAAAGACCCAGCTATTTTTGATATAGCAGATTGTATAGTTTCCAGAAGTTTAGGTCTACTGAGATTTAAAATAACAGGATACAAGTCCTCATCACTGGCAAAAAATTTCTGCAAGATAAACCTGGTGTTATGTAAGGGGCTTAAAATACCATCATGCATCCATTCCATCTGGACAATCTCAAGGGAAGTCCTACGAAGAGCCTCCCTAAGCTCATTCACTTGCCTTTTCATCAGAGAAGCTGCTGAAGTTGCTGATCTAGCAACTTCATGTGCATTGCAGTATTCCTCTAACATGAATTGAACCCTTTTTACAGCACTGAATTCCTTCCTCAATTGATCAACAATAAATTCCTTTGTGGTATCCGGCAGTTGCTCAGTGCTCATTTTCTTTATATAGAGAAAACAATAATGCAGGAGCAACTAGTTCCTTCAGATAAAGATTTAGGAATTTATCAAGATGAATTTCAAGATTTTGGTTAACAACATCAAAAAGCTGTTCAAACCCTAAATTTTGACCCAAGGATGATGATTCATCATGTATGCATGAATCAAGAA